CCACACACACACACACACACACACACATGAACGAACTCCACTGCGCCCCCGCTACCTCCACCCTGCTGCTGCCAGTCCACCAAAAACGGTCCTCCTCCTGTCCTATTAGAGATACACAATCGCACTCTTGGACACACATACACAGACAGTTCTGTTCAAACTACCAGAAAGACCCTTCTAGATCCTTACATCGTCTGTCACCATGGGGAGCGCTTGTTTTTCCAGGGGCATTTGTTTGTTTATCCTCTTCATAAATACTTGCAGGGTGATGGGGAATGTCGGACTTGCAGGTAAGAGCTTGCTTTCCTTGTTAGTCTCTCTTCAATTTTAACCGTTACACGAAGTTTTTTGGAAGCTTCTAACCGGGTTTAAAGGAGGAAATTATGGAAACGTGTCAGACTACGATAAATTGTGTTGCGATTAACGCATACTTTGATACATCATTCAGAAATGTCCTTTATAACATCCTCACAAACTGTTTTTATATTCTAATGACATGTGAAGGCTTAAACGTTTTTGTTCACTTCTTTTGCCTACTTGTGCGGTTTTCCAGCAAAACGGTTGCTTGAATGAAATAGCAAAGACTATATTTTGGCTTTAAATAGTTGGTGAAGTAGGCTTATCATACGTTTTTGTTAATTGGTCAAATCCTGGTGCAAGCTTTACATAATTTTTTTCGTTTCCCCCAGTGGATAGCATTTATGACACTCAAATAGGCTAGGTTAATTTTAGATTACCTTACTTGCTGTGTCTCGAAGCTAGTTTAAATAGGAAACCGCAGCTTGATCCCTGGTTTAAGCACTCGTTTGCTCTGATTTGGAGAGACAGGGTTGCCTGTTTTCACATATCACCTTAGGGTAAACGGTGCAACTGATTTACCAGGGGTCGTTTCTACAAGCGTCCGCTAGAGAGCATCTCTGCTTCGGATCTGGTAGTATTTTCAGAGGTGGAGGAGGTGGACTGTGTTTGTGAATCTGACTGTGTGTAAATGTTGGTTTTGGGGGCTGGAAATAGGGTAGCAGGGGTCCTATATCGACCCCGCGGCAGCATTTGAAACACATTATTCTGTTTCCCACCACCGGATAAGGGATCATTAGTCTTGGAGTCACCAAACACTCAGGGCTCTTAAGACGAAGCAACCAAAAAAAGAAGAAAAAAGACACTTACACTTGTTTCCGTGTTGCGCTATCCCAAAAGCTAACTCGGTCATACTCATTGACTTTTCCTCGCAAAATTTTGACTGAAGCGTTTTATCGCTAAGTTGATTCAAGCTTTGAACCAGACAGTTAAGATACTTGTAGCCTCTTTCAGCCATATTGCTTAATGTATGCAGGGACTATTTGTATTATTGAAGTTGTGGATGAGGAAAGCAGCTCTGCAAAGGCAGATTGACAGATTCAACAGGAGGGACCAAAAATATTGACAGGTCTTCGTGTCCTGCGACCACCATGTATTGTGTGTGTGAAATTATCCGGCCCATTGTCTGTGGTTTAAAACCCAGATGTGACAAAATGCTTTTTTCAATAAGGAAATCTCTTAAGAAGCTCATGAGTTCTTTGTTCTCCGTACATTTGTTGATTTAAGATATTATATTTCTATGAGAAAATGGGATGTTATTTAATGGACACAGTTGGCAAGCATATCCATTTCATTTATTGATTTTAAAGTGTAAATTAAGAATCATGAATAATGCAACTGATTTGATTTGGTTGAACTCATTCAGAAACTGCTTGAGAAAAAAACATTATTGTTAGAAGTCAGTATTTTTGGCTTGTCTGTTTTTAAATCAACTATGTACGAGGTGTAATTGCAGGTAGTATTTCCAGGCTGCACTCCTACTGATTAAATAAGGTGACTTTGTTGAGTGTGTTTATAAAACCAATGAGCTTATTTATGACTTATCATAACCTATTTTCAAGTTGTAGATGATGATGTAGATTATGCTCTTGGATACATGTTGATGGTTCTCACAACCTTTCAACCTTTTCAAAATTTGGAACCACTATTGTTGACTTTGTCTACATAAATGTTAACAAAGGGGAATGCTAAGATTTACATATTTTTCAAAATTAGAAATGATAGACTCTTGTATGTTAGAATGTTGCATTAGTAGGTACAACAAACACCTGAGCAGGTTGCTTCCTCAGGAACTGAAATCTTATCAGGTGATGTTTCACAATTGTGCAGATACAGATGAGTGTGCGGAAAGTTCCGACAACTGCCATATTGATGCCCTCTGCCAGAACACTCCAAAGTCTTACAACTGCATCTGCAAACCAGGCTACAAAGGAGATGGCAAACAGTGTGAGGGTGAGTTCTAGTCACAACCACACCTTTTTTCAAGGTACACATAAAACATAATTTGAACTAGCTTGGGGGCGGCACGGTGGTGTGGTGGTTAGCACTGTCGCCTCCCAGCAAGAGGGTTCTGGGTTCGAAACCCGGGGGAACCAGGACCTTTCTGGGTGGAGTTTGCATGTTCTCCCTGTGTCTGCGTGGGTTCTCTCCGGGTTCTCCGGCTTCCTCCCACAGTCCAAAAACCTGCATGTTAGGCTGATTGGAGATTGGGGAAATTGCCCTTAGGAGTGAATGTGAGTGTGAGTGGTTGTTTGTCCTTGTATGTCCTGTGTGTGGCCCTGCGATGGACTGGCGGACTGTCCAGGGTGTACCCTGCCTCTCGCCCGTTGACCACTGGGATAGGCTCCAGTTCCCCCCGCGACCCCATGAGGGAATAAGCGGTATTGCTAATGGATGGATGGATGGATGGATGGATGAACTAGCTTGCATTTAAGTATTAACACATAGGCTCTTATTAATAGAGAAGCAAAAAAAAATCTTGAGACCATACCATATTTCAGTCAAC